AAAAAGATGGAGATAACCTGAATGAAATAAAACATAGCAAGTACAAGTTGGGAGAAATAGTTTTCTGAGAACTGCTTTATCCTGTAGACATAGTAGAAGCAGAGGATTATTTTTTGCTCATCCTGGACTTAATATTACCCCCACAGAGTCCTTTTCAGTTACTGTAACAGTGAGACTCAGCATGAAAGTTGGGCTGACCCTTTTCATTATAGTTGGATACATAAAATGTTGTTTTTATTATTATAGTATAATGTGTAAACTGCAATAAAGATGTAAGACAGACTGGTCCAGAAATCAAAACGTGCTCCTATTAAAAAGAAAGGCTTCCTCTACTTCTGATCACCAAGACTTTTTGCGAACCAAACTAGCAAGTAAGATTAGATGAGAATACCTTGTTTTTGATCTACGAGCTTCCCGCAGAGGAGGTTATTATTAAAATTTACTGATTATCTAAGGTTTCATGATAGGAAAAAGATGGTCATGAAAATACTTCCCTTTGTTACTGAACAGAGGTATTATTAATGTCAGTGCCATATAAGCATAGGAAGCTAGTGGCCTGGAAACTTGCCACCATGTGGCTAAAAAATTTCAGTTACGCAGTTCGAATGGCAGCAGCTGCTTTAAATTTAAAGGGCAAGAATTAAACAAGCCATGACTTCAGTGGGAGACAAACGAGCCCTAAGTTTGCTTCTTCTATGCTCTTTGCATTTAGCTTCTCCTCCATAGCCCCCCCTGTACTGAGTGTTTGTTAGAACTGACCTTGGTACATCTCAAAAACACTCAGAAATCCATGCTGCCAAATCCAATGTCCAATTGTTTTTAAAAAGGGGATACTGTTCCCCTTTGGACTCAACTGTAGCCTCATCCTCACACCAGCCAGCACTTTCCAAGTCTGTATTTTCCTCTGCTGCAGTACATCCAATGTAATCATGTTTAGTACTTTCCAAACAACAAAGCAGATGTTCCCTGTAATGCAGTTTTTGAAGAATGCACATGAGGCTCAAGCCAGTGACAGTGTAATCCACCAAATGCCTGCAAAGGAATCCACATCGCCTCTGACTAACAAGCTTTCTTACTGAAGTCATTTTAGGGGATGCCAACATTAGGGATAAAATATGCAGAAAAAAGGCCAGATATTGCCTTGAGGGACCTACTCGTCAATGCAACAGAAACTACACAGTGACGACTCTTCCAGAATTGGTGGAGAAGAAGTGCACATGTGTAAAATATACCTTTTGCACTTTAAGACATTTTACCAGCAAACTGTTTCAAATTAAACCCAGATGAGTAATGGTAAAGCAATGAGGTTTTCCCTGGGTTCAGTAAAAACAGCTGGTATTGCTGCTATTAATCATGTGCGTGTGCATTAGAAGGTCTTGTATGTCTGAGAAAAGCATCTCAGTCAGGTAGTACCAATGTACAACAGCCTCTGGGACCTTTGCTTATAGAAAAAGAACCCAGACCACTTGCTGCCAATGCATCCCTGCATGCTGCTTGTACTTGAATACATTTATTCTGATGCCCTCATCATTAATACTTTAAAAATCAAATGCCTTATAACCAAATTCCCATATCAGTGAACAACGCTCCTACTCTGAGTTTTATTTTATAACATGATGCTAAAACATATACAGCAACACTCAGTATAGCACAAATTGCCAGACCACTAAGCTGTAAGACTTCCAGCAAGACCAACTAAAACAAGTCTTGAAATACAAGCCTTGAAATACTTGAAAAGTACTGTGCTAGTATCCATCACTTTACCCTAAGAAAGGGCTTCTGAAGACTCTAGGTTTTTCAGACCTAGAGTTTGCAAAATGTGCTTATTCCTTAATATTAGTAGCCCAGAGTTGTTTATTTCAGCCAAATGTGACTGACAAGTCAGTATATCTCTGAAGCTTGCACAGAAAGGGAATTTCTCGTGTGACTGTATGAGTATTCACTCTGTCATGAATAATTTGTTTTTTGGAAAGTGGCAAAACATTAAAAGGCCTTTCAGATTTCTTTGTTTTCTGGCTAGCCTTCTGATAGTGTAGGATAAGAAACAGCTGAACATCACCTTATTTTAATACATACATTTGTGTTTTCTCTCTCTACCACAGGTACAGAAGAAGCAGGGGTTACAAGGAGACTGAATCAAACTTTGTACCTATTCCACATACCAGTCATCACCAGAGGTGAACTGTGAATACTGGAATGTCTTTATCTCCCACTTGCTGTGAGTCAGCCGCAAGACACGAAAGCCTAGAGCCAAAAGTTAGCTGTGTTAAGACCACTGGGTTTACACGAGATTGTTTTGTTTGGATACCTAGTTGGAGGACTTTTAATTTCTTTCATTTTGAACCATGGAAGAACTGCTGCATGAAAATGGAATAGAAAACTAAAGAAGGATTTCTTCAAACAGAAAAAAGCTTGTTTCATAACTGGTTAGAGGGTAGGAGTCTGCTGCTGCACTGGTGAGCGCAGGACAAATTCCTCGTTCAGTGTAGCAAGAAGATACATAGATGTATGTGCCCACGTGCTTTATCAGCAAGGAACTGACAACACTTGTAATGAAACACAGGAGATATTCTAGAGGTTCCCAGAATTCCAGGACAACTTTCTCTCCACTTGATGAATTAATATCTACAGCTTGAAGAGTATTTTCAGTACACCTTTTCTTTTAAATTAACCTAATCTCTAATGAAAATGTGGGTTCACACTTCAATCAGAACCAAATCCATTTGAGCTCCACCTGTCTCCAAAACAGGTCTTTCTTTTCGAGAGGAAAGATAAGTCCTTCTACTACCGAGGGACAGGAAGACACGCAAGTCTCCAGGGCTAGCTAGTCAGTATATCAGCAAATCCGTCTGGGGGAATGTCGATGATGAAGCAGTCTGGGAAGCAGGCCACTCCCAATTCATTAGAAGTCCTGAAGAGTAGGACCGGGGATATAACTTTTGTGAAGACTTGAGTGTGATGGCAGAAGAGTTCTCACAACGTAGATTTGACACATCGTGGTTTTTCCTGTTTCTGAGATATATGACGTCAATTAACATCAGCTTTTGTGTCAGAGCCATGCTCTGTGTCCAGCTGAAAGGTAGTCATCTAAATCTGCTAGTCGCCAAGGAAAAAATTTTCCCTGTCATACTAGGAAGAATATTTTCTAGACAGTTGGAGAAGTATAGAAGGATTTCTTACTGTAACTGTAACTTATTCACACATTTGGAAATGAGGTAGAATTTGAGAAAGTTTCTGGGGTTTCTTAGTGCTTTAACCATCTCTGGTAGGAGGCAGTGCTACTGATTGCTGATATAGCAAGACTTATCTGGGAAGGACTACCAATGTTTTCTTCCAAGAAAATTTCTGATAGTAAACCAGAGAAATATAAATATCACTGGCTATTCTTTCTATTTTCTGAGGACAAATACTCATGATGCACCCCATCACCAGGGACTGAAATTGCACTAATGTTGGAAATGCTACATTGGATAAAGAGATACTTGTTTGAGTCCAGTCTGGAGAAAAAGAGACCATTTGATGTGGTGCCACAGTCTCTCCAAGAACATAACACAGAGGTGACAAGATGAGAAAAAGGACTGATCTTTCTCAGCTGTTGTTGTTAGAGTGTGTTAGAGTGGCCGAACACTCAAAAGCATGCAAAATGGCGGACCCTTAAAAATTTTAATAGGCTGTTTACAAATGGACCCATTAATTTTAAAGTACTGGTGCAACTTCTCAGTGTTGTCCCACGGGGAGCCTTTCATGGGTACATGGGTTGAGTATACTACTTCAATATGCAATGGGAAAAAAAGGATACGGAAATGGGTAACATCAGGAGTCATAACCATATTCAGAAAGCTTAAAAGAAAATAGTAGTAGAGAACTACTATTCTGTCTGATTTTTATTACTAGTGAACAAGGGATAAGAAAGGAGAACAACAAAAAATAAGTGCCAATAGTATGTAGAAACACGCTTCCTTTCGGCTTCTTTCTGTAACACTGAGCCTGTTACTATTTTCTTCACATTTTCCAGCCATCTAATAATTGATGAGCCACACAAGACTATTGACATTGACTAATCTATGTTCTGGAGATGATGTCCTTCAACAATGTTACAGCCTACTCTTCTACAGACAGAGATTGCCATTTGTGAGCTCATTTGCACTTCACTTTTCCCATCTCTCTCAGAAAAAATAATTAGCCTGTGTCTGCCAGTGAACCCACTGTAATGACTTGACTGTTCTTTGCTGAGGCTGCAATCTCAGTGCAGGCTCTGCACGCTGACTGCACTGTGAAGTTGTGTTGTCATACTATACCTGTTGGCCAACAGCTGTGACCTAGTTCCAGAAGGAGAAGTCAGGTAAATTGCCAGGTCTCCACGTCGAGGGTGAGTAATCGTGATGCGCACAACGACATGCTCCAAGTAGATCACGTGGTGGTTGGGATTATCTGAACAGCCAGTAGCTTTGTAAATTGAACGGACAACACTGTCAGGTCGTATTGTTCTATAATATAAGCATATAAAACAACATCAGCATTTCTTGCTTGTTTTGCAAAATAAGACAACCACATCTTTTTTACTTGGTAGTGAATGACAGTGTTGGACAATTGTTTCTGAGAAGTCAGCAGCTTATAACCATTAGTTTTAACACTTAGTTCCTAGCTAAAACTATCAGCACAGGTAATTATTTTACTGCAGTGAATGGCAACTACCTGGCTTTCTGTTAAGCATGTACACATGCTAAAAGAGGACAGCGAAAAACCTGTAATAGGAATAAGCCTTTGGGACACAGCATTTTTTGCGGATTAGTGGCCAGCTGAGAATTGTTGGGATTGTCATGGGATCACAGCTGGTTGTTAAGCCCCAGGAAATGCCTGGCATAGTCATAGTCCTTGCTTACGTAATAGCAAGTATTACGTGTTATAACTGTACCAAACGGCATCTGACTCAGCTGGTTTATATTGGCACGGCATCCTTGCAGACTATACCAGTTATGGATCAAGCCTGTCAAGCATATTTATCAAACAATAATCTTAATGCTTTGGAAGTGTGCCTTATGACTGATCCCGTCTCTTTATCCACAGTGCGCACATACAGAATTTTGGTCTTAAGCCTGGTTCTATAGAGACCCTATCCTAGCAAGTGAGAAGCTGTTTAGTCTTAGTCTCTGAGCTAAAACTCTCCTGAGCCTAAGAGAGACAATATAATGCAGTATTTTGATGAAAGGGTATTTGCTTGTTAGGTCCTGGACTGATAGGTCTGTACTCATCTTTCAAAGGTGACTGCAGTGCACTCAATCAAACATTCTTCTTCTTTGGTGTATCATCTATACCAGAAGCAATCATTACCCAGCCTGGCTTGTTTTACACCTTCAACTTCTAGGGCATTCTTTAAACTAGGGCCTTTTTCCAAGCACTACAGGGAACAATGTTTACAGGCAAATGACCTGACATCTGTGAAGGTGACAAAGATCCCCAGTATAGCTTTCAAAATGACACATTATACACAATGCAAGGGAGGGGTAAATTATACCCAATTTCTTTCCATAAGTTTATGCCAGCAAGAGTTTTGGCAGCGGGTATTACTTGATTTGCCGATCCGTGTTCTCCACACACACATGCTGTGGAGGCACCGTTGTCCACTTTTCTGCTTCTACCACCATTGCTTCGGCATCCATCAATCCAAATCCATAGAGGTGGCTCACTGCAAGGTACAAACAGAATGCTTGCAATTATAGTATAAAACCTTTTTTTTCATCATAGACTAATTCCAGAGAGTCACATCCTACCAAGAGCCGCTTCTTTTCTACCTCTTCCTTGCTTTCACACAAAGCTCAAAAATCTCCTTGCCAAAACCAATAATGACTATATCTAATTTGTTCACTGAATCTGGTCACTGCTTTATTACAGAAGTGGCCAATGACCATCATGAATAACACTGCACCATGAGGAGTGTGGACCAGAACTGCAGAATGCCAGGGAGTACAATTGCCTCTGATTGCCCTTTGTCCATGTGCCTTAATTCAGCCCAACCCTCTTATATGACATAACTTTAAAAGGTGAAAAGAACCAGAGGAGGGCTATTTCATTTACTTAAATACTAAACACATACATGTATGTAAATATTGAAGGTAACCGAGACAATGAATTTAAGAGGGAACAGACTCTTTTGTAACTGCTGTATGCTCTTAACTTCTCTGAGCGTAAGCAGCATGTGGATGCTCTCCTATTCCTGTATGCAGTATGGTTGCCACTGGCCAGCCAACCAGCTAGATCCAACATCTCTCTAAAGCTGTCTGCATGATGAGGGTGAAAAGCAATGGTATTTGAAGTCCAGGGTCCTAAAGACATCTGGTTCTCATGCAGAGTTTGTGCCAGAAAGGGTCCTTCCTCTACCTCCTTTGTAGATCTGCAGATGAAGGACAGATCTGCAGACAAAGTTAGTGCTGGAAAGAGCTGTTAACATTGCTGTCGACCTCTGATACTACCTACTGCATGCATTGCACACACAGTGGTACGAAGCATCCATGCCTGGAGGTTAGCAATCTGTTAACGCTCATTCCTGGATGTTACACCCTCACCTCTGTCTGCCTTTCATGCCATGGAAAGCCAACGACGGTCCCCTTGCAAGAAACTCAATGCCCAGTAATTTAATGCCTGAATGCCTTCTACTCAAAGAAGCAGAAAGCTTTAAAGCATCATCTTTGTGAGGATACAAAAAATCGAACTTTCAAATGCCCAACACCTAGAAAAGGTGAAGTATTTCCAACAGACTTGTGTCAATTCTGTATCTTTCACTTTTTTAAAACTCTAAGAGTACTTAACTTGATGTAACTGTTTCAAGAGTTCCAGCAGTTCCCAAAGGCTAGTAGTTTCACTTACTGAATCAGCTGTGTGTTGGTTGCTGTTCCAATCAAAACAGAACCTTGCAAATGGATTTTGATGAATTAGAATGGCTGCTAGCCATTTTGTTTCATTGTGACAAATCGGTGCTCTTGGTAAAGTTCTGACAGGGGAAGGTGGAAGAAAAAAGCTTCCAGAGGGAGGAGTTTAGATCACAAATATTAATAAATCAGGTTTACTTGCTACCACAGACAGTGCTACCGGAAAACCCCCAGAAAGTGCTATTTTAATCAGTAATGCGACATGGGATGGTGTAAGTCTTTCCAACTGCGCTTTGCAGAGAGTATGTGAAAGCAGCCTCTATTCATTGCCAAACCAAAATTCAAAGGAGTCCATCCAAAAAAACCCAACCTTGTCAAACAAATAAAAGTTCAAAGCATAAAAATAATCAGTGCTTAAGGATTCCGTCTTCCAAATATGGCAGTATCTAATACTGTCTGAAACTGCCAACTGAAGAGGGTTCCTCAATGAAAAATACTGAAAGGCATAACAACTGTGTCACTAACTGGTTTTCTTCCCATCTTCTTCCAATTCAGCCCCAAAATGAAGTGCACGTAGCATGGAAATGTTCATTTGGAGAGAACTAAACACAGCTCTTGTGCCAAATGAGGCAGGTACCATTTTCAGAAATGAAACACGATAAAATATATGAAAATAATTAAATTCAGCCCTCCTTCAGCCTTCTTTCTTCTCC